GGTCCTGTGCAGCCTGCTGTAGGTGACCCTGCTTTGGCAGGGGGGTTGGACTAGATGACCCACAGAGGTCCCTTCCAAGCTCTACCGTTCTGTGATTCTGTGATCGTGGGGTGCCCACACACCTCCCAGCACTGGTCTCCACCCCTTTCCCCCCAGCTAGGAGGCAACGAGGGGCCTGCACGGGGCTTCAGGCACGTCTGGCAGCGGGAGACGATGCTCTACTCCATACATGGTTTCTATAATGAACCCCAGTCCCCGTGCTCTACTCCTGTTCGCTTTACTCACAACCCACCCCGAGGCATGGACACCTGCATGCTTTTAATTGCTCCTGGATTGCCTTGATTAGACGGCTTTCAGGGACCTTTGACTTTTCCCTCAAGAGTTATCCAAGAGACAAGCTGTAAACCCACCACTCCAGCCAGGCTGCGGGGCTTTATTTCATCCCGTACATGCAACTACAGCCAGGGCTTGGGCTCTGCTTAGACCTCCTCCAGCCATCTACGGTGCAATGAAATCAGAGTGCAAAGGGTACAAAATGCTGCCTGACAGCAACTGCACTTCCACTGGGCTGAACACTTGTGTCCCGTCTGCTTACTCCTACAAAAACATCAGTAAATTGCCAACTAATCCTCTTTTTTGAGTAATATTTACATTTTTTTGCAGCATAAGCCCTGGGGTTTTTTTAGAGAAAAAGCAGCAGCCTGAAAAAACTGAAAACTAAATATTTAAGAAAAAAACTGTATTTATGCCTCAGGAAGAGCACCGGCTATTTTAAGCATGCTAGATTTTTAGGTTAAATATCAGGAAACACAGAAAGAAAAATACACAGATTTTTGTGCTCCCCATTAACAGTACTAAAACCCAGCACACAGGAAAGCCCATGGGACAGGATTTTTAAAACCATCCTGCGAGATGCAGAATAACCTCCATGGTAAGGGAGCATTAAGATAATCATAGTCGAAACATCCCTGTCACCTGGCAGTGTCTTGTACAGAGAGCAAACTCCCAAAGCCGTGCCGGCACACAAGGCATCCGCCTGCCCAAATCCACGTCTGGGGATGGGTTTAGCTCCTCAGCGAGCAATGGAAGACAATCTGTGCCATCCCAGCTGCAGGACCAAGTTATCCCAGCCGCCTCGCCAGGGCCAGCACTGGCATGGGGACCCGGGACCTGCTGCTGTGGGATGCAGGATGCCAGCGCTGCGGGGGAGCCCGAAACGCCCGGGCTGCTCCTCGCACCATCCCCCTTCCAAAAACAAGCCTGGGTGAGACCGGCCGAGACCCACGGAGTGATAGATGGGCCTGAGATGAACGAATGGATGCAGCATCCGAGGAGAGGCACTGCGAAACGCAGAGCTAGACAGCAAGCAGGGCATGTGATTAGCCTGGCATAGTGCGGCCTTGATGCTGGCAGGGTTTTCAAGGAAAAAAATCAAAAAAATAATTAAAAATAAACCACCCCAAACTCAACTGTCGGATACGTTTCTAATGAGGTTTTCACAGATTCTGGAGGAATATCAAAAGTACAGTTTTCTTTAATATTGTCAGTTTACAAACAGCACCTGATAGTGCTGCCCGGGTACAACACCTCTCAAATAAACACTGGAACCAGGAGGACCAAGAGAGGACCAGTACGCTCGCCTTTGCACTGCTGCTTTCAACCAGGGCTGCTCAAATGTGAGGAGCCCAGGGAGACGGGCAGCACGGCGGGAAAACTCTACGGGTGGATTTAATGCAGAAACCCAAGATGGCTCATTAGCGGAGAAACGAGCGTTGTCAAAGAGCTCATCTCTGCACCAAAGCTCCAGCCTGGTGTCACTGAGCCCAGGTATTTAACCGAGAGCGAAAGAGACTTTACTGCACAGCGGTGAGACGAGAGCCTGGCACTGAGCCCCTTCTGCAGGTACCAGAGGGAGGGGACGGTGGCCCTCGGCCACCCTGCAGCCCACAGGGCACAGCATCCCCGTGCAGACCGAACGCAGCCTGAAACAGCCCGAGAACACCACGTACGGTGGTTTTTCATAAACCCAGTCAAATAGCCAGTTGCGTAGAGCAAATGCACACTGAGGTAGCGCCACTTGCACTATCGAGGTTCTCATCAGGGACGAGAATGTCATGAATCACTGCTGAGGCCAACATTAAAATGGTATTGATGCTAAGAATCCCAGGCGTTCCATTTGGTGCTCATATAACATATGGCACATGTGAATTTTATAGCTTTTGTATTAATCTGCCCAGAATGCCATCACTTTGCAAGATTTCATGAAATATTAAAATTACTGGGGATAATTTATTTTACAACGCTAGGCAAAGGCCCTGGGAACGATGCGAACCTCCCCATTAAACTCACCCAGGTCTGTGACTCGCAGCCCTAATATCTCACATCTGTTTGCCAAGTGAGAGAAAGACGCGATGTCTTTCAACTCGGTTATTTGACGGATCGGCCTGAATTTGCTTATTAAGGTTTCTACAATCCATTATCACTGCAGGAAACGGAGGGATGATAGACTAAGCATGTTTATCAAACCGTGTGAAGTCCAGAGAGACACTCAAAACAAATCTCTACAGCCACTGCAGGAAAGTGCTGGGCATCTTTATTGACAGCCCAACTGTGAATTGCACAGTAGGCTTTTAAAAACCCAACAGAAGGCTATGGCATAAAAAGACAGTACAGAAAAAGACTGAATTTTCATCTCTTATGATAAATACAGCACCGCTGGAAGCATTTCCAAAGGACTCTGGTCACCTGCATGCAAAACAGTATTTAAGATATCAGCACGCAGCCGAATCGCTCGTGCACCAACGCACAAACCCAAGCAATGACGGATGGTGTTAGAAAGCCGCCGGGGCCAAGACATTCCCTGCTATAACGATTACTGCAGCAGAGAGTGATTTCTGCAATATGCATCGGGAAGATTCGAAGCCAACAGCTGCTGGGAACTTTGAACAACCACAGAATTCAACAGCAAATCTCCGATGAATGGTTAACACCTTGCAAATCTCTTTTCAAGAGCAGGGAGTGGTATAAAAGTAGTAGCCTGCTGCAAAACTCCGTGCGCACAAGATATAAAGGCAGTATCTCAACCGGCTAAGCACAAAAATAGAAGGGCTCGTGCAGGGTCCCTTTGTCAGCCTCGTGCCCCGAGGGGTAGGTGCATTGGCTACGCAGGTCATCACGCACGTCTCCAACCTCGGCCACGTCCGCGGCACGCAGGAAGAGGCAGCGGAAGAAATCAACCGCAGCACCACACTGTCCTGCACCGGTGTGTAACAGCCCGGGTTGTGCTGACGTCTGAACAAACCGTTAGTAATTCCTGTAGCTGAAACACAGCGCACACCAACTCCTGCAAAAATGTATCGTTCCCTTCTTTCCTATTGCAAATTGGGCTTACTGAAATCCTCCAAGCCTCAGGACCAGACAAATCATCCTACTAAACACGAACTGAAGGGAATGGGTGGAGATGCATCTGCTTAAATGAGCATACAACTGGTAGTTACTGAGCACGCAATTATGAAAACATGAGCCTGTATCTACAGAGATGTTTCCCATTAAAAAACATCTTGGTAATATGAAATACTCTTGGATCACTTCTCCACAATGTAACATATCATGTGCAAAAGTACATTCTACTTCCAAGACGCCATAAACATGAACAGCAGAAAACCCATATTACGAAAAAGGAACTTCAAAGTTTGTGTTGTTGCCCCAAATGGCTGCACTGCAACCAAACGCCCAAAGAGCACCATCCACAAAACGGCCATCATCCACCCAACAGCAGCCCACTGTCAAAATCACAAATGATAAGGACAATGACGATGACAAATAAAGTTGGGCCGACAACGGCTGCGCTCCGAATTACACTTTGTTTCTATTATTTCCAGCTCCCACGGCACACATGCTACATACATTGCGGACCTATCACGGTGACACGTGGATTTGCACATCGATTTCAAAGGTATGTGGAGTCACATAAACAGAGCACGAGCCTGCGCTCGCTCCAGCCAAGACATTTATTCTTCATACACATTTACGGGTGGGAACGGGCTCGTCAGCAACGCTGCTTGGTTCATTCGTAATTAACATCTGGATGCCAAAAGAGAAAGAAAGCTGACACAAGGCCTGAGTCTTCCCAAACATTTGGAGCTCTCTGGATCCTTGAAAACCAAACACTGAATTAAATAAGATCTCTCTCAACATGTGAAGGAGAATTTTCAGTTCCAGTTTAAACATGTGCTAAGTTGTACAGATGTTTTGGTCCAAGGTGTTGACCCAACTTCTCAGCTGATGAGGGATGACCTAGCAGATGGAGTAATCACACAGGACAGCACGAACAAGGAGAGATTTTGCTT